AAAATTGGATCTTGATAAATCCGGCCCTTACTCTTCATCCCGACTGTTTCCATTGTGGGTCTCCAATGCATTACACCATTCTTCTCGGCCTTCGCCATGTTCTTCGTTACATCCTTCTCCCCTGTAATCACTGCTATCTCATCTATCCACGTTGTGCGTCGTCAGCCTAACCCCTGTTGGGCATGAGCTTGAGCAACGATCATTTCCAAGTCCAGACCAGATGATGTCCGGCTGATATGACCAAAGTACAGGAACTTTCTTTTGATGGGAGATGGTACACTCTGTCTTTTTCCAGGACCTGGTTTAGCTACAAGGCTTGGCTAACTGCATACAGCGAGGCTAATACTTTATTCTGCTTTCCCTGCCTCATTTTTCAAACGTCAGGATCTGACCCAGCTTGGATAAAGATAGTTAGGGCTGTTCCGTAAAATGTTTAAAAACAAACCACTGGATATGGTTTCCAAGGTTTGAAGACGTTTCGCTTCCCCTCCAGGAAGCTTTCTCAATTCAAATGCCCTGGAACTTCTTTGGAACCTTGGAAACCAAGTCCAGTAGTTGATTTTTAAGCTTTTACAGAATGACTATGACCCGGATGACTGAGAATCTTCATCAGCATATAGTTAGGGCTGATTTAAAGTACTTTTTAGAAAAGGCAAAAAAGCATGAACAATTTGGGATTCACATGAAAAATAATATAATATTGTGTACTTTTTCTAGGTGTTCATTAAATGAATGAACACATTCTAAGAAAATAAATACTTTTTGTATATAAAAATATATATATAAAGCTGTCAATTAGCTTCTTCATTATTAAACTGGTATATTATTTTTTTTAGGCTTGTGTCACAATATTGGACTATGCAAAACACAGATTTTCTGCAATCTACAGTAGTGTAGTCCAGCCTCTCAAACAAACACAAATGAAGTATGCACACGCTGCTCACTGCAATGTACATGCCAGTCACTTGACACATTGTGTGAAGATCTGCTGCGCGTTTTATTATACACAAACCTAATGAAAATCAGGCTCTTAGTGTAAAAGATCTGTGTGTATTTGGGGTTTTTAAGCTTTAATTAAAGATGATCAAATTTGAGACATTTGATTACTTTTCACAATCCTGCATAAACCTTCATATTATATTTCATTCTGGTCTTGAGTGTTACAGCTCAAGCACACAAATGTAATGATATATGACATTTTAGTGTCTCTTCATCAAATTGTCTGACTAGAATGTCTGACCTTTAAAGTAGGTAATGTTCAATATTTTCAGTTTCTTAATCTAACAGGTCTGCTTTCTGCAAGAAACAACAAAGAGCATCAGCAGGAAAGTGAAATAACATATATGTTCTGAAATGCAGTTTCTTATTTGCATGCAATTAGACCTAAATGCAGACGCGGAAACTTTGGCTTTTCTATCAGAAGAGAGAACTGGGAGGTGTGACTCAGACTTGACTTTAATGCACACCACACACTTTCCATCAGAAAAGAAAATTGCTTTAAATACAGGGTAAGTAGACAGTAAATGGTTTGTAATGTGAGACCAAGGGAAAGAATCTGTCAGAGCTGACATCGAGAGACTTTAAATTCCTGCGGTCTGCTCAGAGATTGCTGTAATATTTGCAAAAGAATTTAAGATAAAAGCTGCAGGTGAGAGGTTTCCTGGAGCCAATATGTTTTTTAAGTTGTTTTATACCCATGTGCCAAATCCATTTCCTGCAAAGGATTGAGGCTATATTGGAAATATTTGTAAAAGCACACATGTAACTGTTATGAAATACCCACCAACTTTATAGGTAAACAGCATCTATTTTGCCTGAATCTCTTTGAATTATGTTGCTTTATATTCCCTTTCTCTTCCCCTCAGGTGTGTTAAATTCTGTTGCTGCGTTTGTCTCGATTTAGAGCAAAGCTCCCGCTTTCAGAAACATTCTGTTTGCCTGTCAGAAAAAAAACATGAGGATGTGACATTATCCTTAATATTGTCTTGTTTGAAACAAGTTACTGCAGTGTTGACTGTATCTTAAGAGATATAAAAAAGATACCTTTGCATCTTTTCAAAAATATTGACAGATTTTTTTTACAGATATGATGGAATGCAATAATCGTTTTACTGTAGACATGCTCTCATACATTGTCTAAGCTTTTTGTTTTTGACTGCAATCAGAAGACAGACTCAGTTTTGTCATTTTTTTTATACTTACCATCCACACATGAAGGTCTATTTCTTGTAGTTCCAGCTACCTTCCCAGGCAGACAGGAGCACTTCACCGTCTGTGACCGTTCTTCAATTCGGTTCTTATTACAGCATCTGTGTGCAGCTATTACTTCACACGTCCCACCCTCTAAGGAGAAGCAAAACAGACAATACATTCAATTTTAGTGAGTACACATCAGCTCTTATTACAAATAACAGCAGTTCCTTGCAACTTTAAAACGAGCAATTTATGAAACAGAAAAATAAAATTTGCTTTAAAAAAATATATGAATCCAAATCAATGTTTTTTTCTCATTTATTTCATCATAACCTGAAACAAAAACATATTTCGAACATCTCTTGTATGTCAAGAGATTTCTAACATCTCTTGTATGTCAGGCTGAGCAACTGCTCATCTAAAACATCACCTTTAGAGCAAATCAAAATTCAATGGTCAGCTTAGATACTATCATATTTGGCTTGATCAGATACATAGATTAATAACTGCTCATACAATAAATTATAATGCAAAATAATGATAGAAGAAATACATAAATAAATCATTTAATCATATTTAGGACCAATTTATTTACAGAAATCCAGATAAAAATATAGTTTTATCTGAAGGTATGGTAGGGGAGCTGTGTAGTTTAGCTTTTAGAAATACAAAGACAGAATGATAATTTTGACCTGTTAAAACCTTAGCATGAATTTTAGTCATATTCTGTAGGGGATCAATGTCAGGATTGGCTTCTGCAGCAAAAATCTGTGAACATGTACTTTTACCGACTTGTTGAGGAACTCAGAAAGATCCCTCCGGCATGTAGAAAGTATAAAGATAATGAATAGAATGTGTTAGAGAGAAGAGGAAAAAAAATATTGACAGAAGGAAAGGTCTGCTTTGGGGTTATTAGAAATATTAACTCTGGAACCTCCATCAATTTTCACCAAACTGCTGGTTGTGTCCTGAAGGATCAGAGGCCTGGACCAAATGGACACGACCCGACCGCAACCGCCAGCCTCTCCCACCCACTGCTCTCAGACCCTCCACAGATGAGAGTTCTGTGGTAAAGGACCATCTGACAATTACACCCGTCAGTGTGACACAAGATCAAGGAGACTGCAGAGAGCAGCAGAGCTGAGAGGGAGAAAGTATCTGGTATATTGCCAGCAAAGTGATTTGAAGTTATGTTTGACAATGAGCTGTGGGTTTGTGGAATGTGTCATGCCTGGATTTGCATATCACTTTATGACATTTGAATATTTCAGTTTGCAAGGGTCTCTTGATGCAGAGCTGTTTCTCTTAAGGGAAAAGCCATCTCTCCACTCAGCCTTAAGTAAATCCTTGCTGTATTTAACTAGTAAACTGCACAAAATCACTGCAGATGATTTGATAAAGACCTGGAACAACTTGTAAGTTACCTTTTATTATCTAGAGGAGTTCCATGAATGATGATCTGATTTAAAAGGACACAGAGAGACCCTGTTAGAATCTAAAACCATCAGGATATTCTCAATAGAGAAGCTCAGAGAGACTCCATTGTACATGTAAAATACACAAACTAATGACTGTAAAATGTTTTTAAAAAACTAACATTTCACAACTAGATGGAAAAAGCTTGTGGAAAAAATTATACATTTAAGGAAAAGCTATTCATACTCTCTGCAAGATAACATTTAAAAAGGCTTCTATTCAACCCACTGAGTCAATATGTTGTAGAAGCATCCACAGCTGCATCCCTTTTTCAGTATGCCTGTTTATTTTGTGCATCAAGAGCCAAGACATTTTCCTTTTACTTCTTAAAAGAGCTCAACCTCAGTCAGATGGGAAGCATTTGTAAATAGCAATCTTTGGCTTTACTGATATACTCTTAGCTGGATTTTGGTCTACAATTGTTTGGGCTGTTATAACAAAGGAAGATACTGATATTTCCTTATAACCATGTCCTTATAACAAGACATATGAATACCAGTGTTTCTGTCATTTTTTTTATTTTTTTCTGTAGGGGTATCAGAGCAACCCGTACCTTAAACAAATTCAAACAACTGTTTTAACTATTTACAATCTATTTAATTTCCCTCTTTAAAATGGGTAATTATTTGTTTTGCATTAAATTCAATGTACAAATACATTACTTTGAAATTTACTGCAAAATAAAAAAGACCAGAGCTGATGTAATCTTTAGGCTTTGGGAAAGAAAACTGTGCAGCAATTTGGGGTTTTGTTAGCCCAGTTTAACTTAAAGTAAATACAACCTCCAGCTCTTTTTTGGGGGAATTGGTCTCAAATTGTCTCTGACATAATCTGACTTATCTGACAGAAATTCATGAAATTATCAGTATTTACTTACACATCAAAGCAAAAAGAAGACAGCCTGGTTATTCTGCTGCATGTGTGTCTCTCTTGTGAAGATGTTACTTAATATGCTTTCCCCCATGGAATTTGAATAGGGGTTAACAAGCATGCCCTTTTCCATTTATTCTTGTGAGACCTCCTTGTTTCAATATTAAACAACCTACTGTGGCTTTAGTTTAATCAGAGAAGACAAATATTTGCCTTGCTTTTTTCCTTTTCATCCAAGCTGTATGTCTCTCACTTTTTTCTCTCATTTTTTTCATGTACAGATCATATTTGCTAATGTTTATACACTGGTAATACATGCTAAAGGAGTGGGGTGTTTATTGTTATGATTATAAATAGAGGATGCATGAAAGTTCATTTATATTTGTTTTCATGGAGATGTCTGTGGAGATGTTTCTTTTTTTGCAGTCTCTTGTAAAAGTACTGTTCGGAATTTTGTAAGCAGCGGTGTGTTTTTCCTTTTTAAATATGGCTAATAAGGTTTTTCGTCAAGGCAACACACCACAGGGAGGTAAGAAGAAGGCAAAAAGAAAAAGAACTCCAACACATATATCTGTCATTCATATAATGATAGTCCATCTAGGAACCCCTTTTGTTGGAAAAAGCTGCCCTGTTCATGGGGTGCACCTAAATTAAGGAGTTATCACTAATTTTAAGGTGTCTTTACTGATTTAACTTAAGTTTTAAATCTTAGATTTTAAGAGATTTAAAATTTGTGTTGGGTAAATTTAACAAGGGTAGATACTGTTTGATGAATTTAACATGATAAAAAAATATATATTATTATGTAGTTCAAGGTTAAGGTTGGATAATTAGAATAGAATAGAAAATGTCTTTATTGTCCCACAATGGGGAAATTGTGGCATTACAGCAGAAATGGGTTATAGTGGAAGTGATCACACATAAAAAAAAAAACAGATAGGAAATTAAAAGAAATAGAGTACTGTACTGCACAGTTTTTGTTTTTACAATATAATTGGTCTGTATTTAGAGAATAAAACATCAATAACAGCTGTGGACATTTTCATTGTAATGGATATGTGAAAAATAGCAACACCAGAGATGAGCAAAAAAAAAAAAGACAATGTAATGTTATTTAACTGAATGAACTTAATGAGGTTGTTGCGAACAGTGATGGTTATAAAGTCTTACTGCTGCTAGGAGCAAGGATCTGTGATAACACTCCCTGGTGCATTTAGGGTGCGGCAGTCTGTGGGAGAAGGAGCTTTCCAGTTAAGCAACAGCTTTATGCATGGGTTTAAAAAGTTTCACACCACCTTCTTCACTAAAGTAAATCACAGAGTATGTCCACTGCTACCATAGTAGTTGAAGGAATTTAACTCTTGACTTTCACATCTCTGCAACTTTTTGTTATTTTGGGGAGTTTGCAAAAGCATCTGCTCATCTAAAAATAATTGATAAGTACTAAAAAACTTTATTCAAGTGAATATTTTTAATAAAGGTATTATTTAGATGTGGGGTCAGGGTAGAAATTAAAAAGGGTAGAATGGAAAGTGAACTGAATCAAGAAATATTTGCTTTTGGCTGTTTTGTAAGTCTAGTCATTTTACCTGGGTTTCTAAAAGCATCATCAACCTTTGATTCAAAAAAAGAAGTATTTATGATCTTTATGTCAGTGTGCTAGGACATGGCAAGCTGTCTGATGCGCTCAACAAAAGGGCATGTCTGCACAGCATTAATCGTAATGCGCCAGTGGAAGCAGTGGGGCATCATTTGAAAACAACAGCCCACAGGGGTTTGTTCTTCTTAATGCATCGCCTTAATTGCATAAGACAGCCCCAGATTCCGTCTTTGATCTATTAAAAACACACTACTCAACAGAATTAACTTGCATTGCTTGTTGCTAGCAAACAGAGCACGAATGCGGGATACTCTATATTTGGAAATCATCACCTTTGAAGAATATATTAAAATCAAATAAAAATGCAAATCACCTCAGTATTTTCAAGCCGGCAGGTGCATTGGGTACCTTCGCACAAAAGCAATGCAACACTGATTAGTGCTCTTCAAGTTCACCCATGATTTCAGCCTGCAAGTGCAACACGCTTCATGCACCAAGAGCCCATCTTTCCCCTCTGAATATTTCAGGGTAAAGGGAAGAATAACATGGATAGATTTGAATACTTTTCTCAGGTGAGGGCTGGAACCATGCAAGGGTATAATTGTTTTCTGTATTTCCATTTCTTCCATTATCAGGGACATTGAACAAAGTCGACTTCCCAAATAACCAACACCTTCGGGGTGTGTACGAGTGTGTGCTTGTGTTGCCTTTGCAGCCGCATTATAATTGACAGAGAACAAGGGTCATGCACAGACTGTCATTCATAGGTTCACAGGTCACAAGAAAAGCAGAAGGTCACCAGTGGAGCCGCTCTGATTTTGTTACCTAGCTCCTTTCTCCTGCCTCTTCATTACTTTGAGCGTGGATACAGATGCTGTCAGGCAAAAAGGTGAACACCAACCACAGCATGCTCATTTTCAGCTCAGACTGAGATGGATAAGTCAGGACATTGTGCTATATGTAGCAGCTATTCTGTCATGTTATTTTTAGGTCATATCTGCCCCTGGTATTGATTTTTTTATTGCTGATTTGATCTTCAGAAACTTAATCCACAGGAAAATGAATGCCTTGTGTGTCTACTAAGGCTATCTATGGTTGCACTGTCTCTGGTCTTTAATGCAGCTTTTCTTTTTTTGTTTTAGCTTTAATATAAACACCTGATTGGAAATATTATAAACTACAAATTATGAATTATAAAATATAA